TATATCTAAGTCAGGCTTTAGAAAAATTCCACCCTTACCTTTTCACAATTAGAAAGGTTATAAATAATGTATTTGGCTGAAAAGGCAGCTCAGCCTGTGGCAGATGGTATCATTCTAGAGTACTGGGGTTTCTGTGAAGATGGCATTCTTTCAGATCGGAACTTCAGCAGACTCTCAGAAAGAACCGAAGCTCTTCATAGGGAGCAGACATGTGCTTTATGGATCTTAGAAAAGCTTACAACTTGGCTCCTAGGATGAGAATATTGTGTCACACTGGGGTTATGAGACCCACAGCCAATTTCTGCCAACTTTCAGGTTGCGTTTCCCAACACTGGAAGCTGTGGGCCTATTCATTGGTTGGTGTACTGTGTGGCATTTGAACTTGGGATTTGAGCTGACTGAGTTTGGTCAGCCTGATTATTTTATTCCCTGAACACTGACATTCTACAGAGACCGGCCACTGAATAGGAAAACTTACGATACAAGTTGTGCCTTTTTCCAAGTGCTTTGGAGAGCTTGTATAAATAGACACCGAGAGAGAGAGAGAACTGGAATAACATAACCACCAAGCACTGCGACTTCCGAGACATCTGTGTGGATGTATTTTGAAAAACCTGGGAAGGGATCTCTTGCAAATTAATGAACAAAGTTTCTTTAAACTATGAGTTCTATCATGACAGCTAAAAGTGATGCATTTAAAAGATTCATGTGACAAGCTGCCATTACCTTTGACCTTTAGGAACAAAAAGAAAAAAAAAAAAGGATTTTCTGGTAGCCTGCAGTAATGGCTAATTTCAGTGATCTTTAATCCTTTGATTGATCACCTAATACGTGCCCAGCCCTGCGGCGAGTCCAGGTGAGAGATAAGACCCAAGACTCACAGCTGGAAGAAGAGTGCTGCGGAGGTGCTATATGCCAGATGGACACTAAGTCAGGAAAGGCTTTGCAGAAGTGGGGATCCCTGAACTGTGTCCTGAAGGATGAGCTGCTATTAGCCTGAGAGGGGAGAGGGCATGGCTCGAAAATACACATCACAGAAGTGGTGTTTGTCTTCCTGAGGCCGGCTACCAGGTACAGGCTAGCCTTACCAGATACTGCCAGACTGGACTATTGAAAAAAAGGAGGGGAATACTTTTTTCCTTTGGTGGTTTTCTCATGGTCCCTTGACCCGACTTATAACTTAATAAATTTAGTTAGTGTACTCTGTTCTTCATAAGAAAATGTATTTGACTTAAACTACGTCATTTGAAAATTCTGATACTCTTCTGTTATATAAAGCATAGTCTTTTGACTGATCTGAAATGTGATCATATAATAAAAGCCAGTGAGGAGGAGGAGGCAGAGGGTTGTCATAGTAATTAACATCTCTTAAGTCCATACTCGGGTATGTTCCCAGCTCTGTGCTAATTGCATAACATTCATTATTTTATTTATTGTCTGTGTAAGTGTAGATAGTATCTCTCTTCAGGTCATTCTTTGTCTAGTAACTTGCCTAGTGCTTGGCACCTAGTAGGAGTTCGGTAGTTATATGCCGAATGGATGAAAAAAAACATGCCCGAATGGATGGATTCTCAGAACAACCCTATGAAGTGAGTGCTGCTATGATTCCCATTTAGTAAGGGGGATTATGATAGAATGAGAGTCAATTACCTTAACAAGGTCACACTGCCAGTGTGCTACACATTTTGGACTTAAATGCGGATTTAGCTATTCTCTTTCATCAAATGAATATTTAGTGTGTGTTTAGTATATGCCAGACATTTGGGCTGGAAAAGAATATGGAGCCCCAGAGCTGCATAAACTCACAACTTAGTGTAATCTGTTTAAACCAGAGTCTTTTTTTGATTGACATAAGAATCCTAAGCATCTCTCCTTAAAAATGTGGATGTTGGTCTGCCTCCCCCCTGCCTATCATCCTCTAGGAAAAATCTTACCCCCCTTGATTTTGTTATTTGTGTTATCCAAGTAATAGACATTTCTTTATTTTATGATTTTCCAAATTTAAGAACCAATACTGAATATGATCTTTCAAACGCCATGTGCCCCACAAGATTCTGAAATCTCTCTTTCTTGCCCCTGAAACCCATAGTCCAGTCAGATGCCACACCTAAGTCTCCAATAGGGATTTTACTGCAAGAAACAAAAAGTCCTCATGCAGTGGCCACTTGAGCAGTTTAGTCTTACAAATTACTGCATATTGTTCCAATAAAAATAGAGGTTACCCCAAGTTACCCTGAATTATGGAATATTTCCCAGCCCCCTGAAAGCACAGAAAGTCAGAGAATTTAAATTGTGGCTTTGGCATGTGTCATACCCTGAGGATTAGCCTTTTGATTTACGTCTTGCTTAGGCTAATATTTACATTAATCAGAGTTTCTTAAGCACACACCACTTGACAGAGTAGAAAGCATCCAAAAAGTCACTTAAGGACAGAACCTTCCAAGTTAGGGTTAAACAAGGGCAGGAGGAAGCTTTGATGATCATGCACATATGGATATTATTTTCCACATATGGATAATAATGAACTACATAGCACTATTACATACGGGCTCTAATGTTATAAAAATATTTCAGATGGGTTGTTTTTCCACATACCATGTATTCTTCCTTTTGTCCCCCCATATATTTGCCACTGTTGGGTCTCCTAAATCACATTAAATTGAAGTGATCTGTTTATGTATCTGTCTCCCTAATAGATGATAGAGTTCTTATAGTCAGAGGCTGTGTCTTAATCCGCCTTTGTATCCCTAGTACTGGCCAGGCACATAGTAGGTGTGCAGCAAAGAGCAGATTTCATATACAGAACTGTTGGCAAACTGAAATAGACTGAATGTCTGTCAGAAACCTCAGCAAAATTTAGGTAATTCCCATACATTTTTGAAAACTAAGACATAAACTACATCTAAAACTTGTATGTACTATTGTATTGACATTTAAGAAACTGCTAGAATGTCTAGGAATAAGAGTAATAATGTCTTAAAAATTGGACCAAAGTGGAAGAACATCAACTGTCATCCATTTGCAGAATCACCATTATCCATCAGCAATCTCAGTAGTTTTATTAGTGTCTGACTTTATTGATCCATTATTACAATAGAGTAAGTGTGATTGAAGCTGACGGATTGTTAACTGGATCAGGTAATCTTCTGGCTCTGGTTTTGGCAACCGTGCTAAGTATCTTTTTGTACTCTGGACTGAGGGAGGCTCTTAGTAAAATTGCAAGCTACTGGATTAATGGCAGAGAACCACGAGCACATTAAGAATGTCTTTTTGGAGAAATAAAATGACTATAAAATAGAAAGTGTCCAAAAAAAAAAAAGATATCACGATGCCTCTTAGGAAAGATAGCCATGTTTTACATAAATAATACAACTTCACAGGAAGTTCTTCAAAGATCCCCAAGAGTTACATATTATAGGAATGTCTTCATGTTACAATATTAATGCTGATACTGGATCTGGTCAGGAGAATCAATAATAACCAAAAGAACTCTAAATTAGAAGTAGCTTAAAGAAGATAATGATATAAAAATACTTTTGTCCCCATACTGGCTTTTCTGGTTGTTCCCTGCCTTCCAAACAATGCTGCTTTCTGTAAACTATTTCACCATAGACCAACTGAAGTCTGAAATGTAAGTTCTCAGGTTTCTATACAGAGGAGTGGGGGAAGGATGGGTGGTGCATTTTATTCCTAAAATATAGTTGGGAATTAATTGAACCGCTACTAGGTAATGGGTGTTAGGGTTAAAAATAACAATGAATTAAGTTACTGAAATTACCATAACCAAAATTTGCTGGCAAGAAAACATTTTTGTTTGTTGAAAATGAGTTTAAAAAAAAAAATCCTCCAAAAATTATTCTCATTCCTGTCTTTGTTTTTATATGTTAAACTGTTGACTTTGTTTTCAGGGTTTTTGTTAAAAGCAGAATGAAGACAAATGACAAAATAGGTCATTTTCTTTTCTGTGGTATCCTTGAGAAATTTAGTAAGCATGAAATGTGTATATTTTAAAGTTTTATGGTTAGTTTGAAATTCAGAACTTGGCTTTACTGTACTTGAAGCTAGCGGTAAGATTGTGGGATGTTTCTTTCTCTGAATGAGGATCTCTGTGAATAGTTTGTTTTTTCCTTAAATGTGGTCAGTTAACCTTTGAAGAGTGTTAATGTAGTTAATGCACCTCCAGTTGAAACCCAGATAATTGGAGTAGAAAGTGCAAGTGTGTTTCCCAAGCCTTATGTACACTCAAATCCCCTGGGGATCTTGCTAAACTTGTAGGGCCCAAAATTATGCATTCCTTTTTTAATTTTTTTTAAAGACTTTATTTATTTATTTGTGGGGGAGGGAGAGAGAGACAGAAGAGCACCCGAGCACAAGCTGGGGTGGGCGGTGGGGGGGGAGCGGCAGAGGGAGAGGGAGAGGGAGAAGCAGACTCCCTGCTGAGCAGGGACCCTGATGCAGGGCTCTCTCCCAGGACCCTGGGATCATGACCTGAGCCGAAGGCCTAACCAACTGAGCCACCCAGGTGCCCCTAAAATTATGCATTTCTAATAAGCTTCCAGGTGATGCCAATATTGCTGGTCCCTGGGCCATACTTTGAGTAGCAGGGATGTAGAGTACAGTCACTTAACCTCAAAGTAGTGTTTATTTATGAATTGCAATCATAAAGTCATCTTCACGTACTTGTATTTATTGGGATCAGTGAAGGTTTGTCAGCCTAAGAATAGATGACATTGATAGAAGTTCCATAAATACTAGAGCAAAGTCTGTTGGTTTGATAGCTTTATACTGGTCTCAGTGTCCTCTTGCTTTCTACTTAAATAAGCATTTGATGCGCTACTTAATGAATTTTAAGAAGTTGAGGCTTTAAGCCAAAGTGCGAAACAGAAATGTATTGGTACTCAGTTGATTAAAAAAAAATACCATTTACACAATTGAAATCATTTTTGTGTTCCATCTTGTGCCGGTATGTATTACAAATGTTTCCCCCCCTCTTCATGCAGAGTATGATTTCTTCCATTGTGAACAGCACTTACTATGCAAATGTCTCAGCAGCAAAATGTCAAGAATTTGGAAGGTGGTACAAACATTTCAAGAAGACAAAAGATATGATGGGTAAGCAAAAAACTGTTGCAGTGGTGGCTACATACCATTATGTGTCATTTGGGGGTTTATCAAAGTCACATCTAAAGCCAGGGCTTGTGATTGCCCAATTAGAGATCAATTTAGAATGTTTCTTTGAGGGTGGGGAGTGGGTATGAGTATAATGAGATAATTAAATTCAATAAATGTTTGTGTTTAAATCAGCCAAACTGACTTGGTTGTCAGACATGCAGGAAATCGAGGCGGGAGGAGGGAAGCTGTCATTTTTTAACATCTCAGTGAAGACCTAACCAGGCCTTGAATAACTAATATTAGCTATGATTTCTCTCAGAGATAAATCATGCTTTTATGTGTTTTGTTTTTGTTTGAGAGAAAGAGAAAGTGCCTATTTTTACACCCAATTTTTAAGGAAATTAAATTGTATTTATAGTTTCCACAATTGAGATCAAGTGATTTTTATAGCTCTCATCCCTAGCCCCTCTAGATAGGCACTTCGGTGAGCACACGGCTTTGCCATCCCTACCGGAGACCTCACTACACCATTTCTCAACTTTTAATTCTGGTGTGCCTGCCCATCTTCACATGTAACTTCAGGTCAATATGCGTTATGCAGGAAATGCATTAAAAATTATCGGCAGTGTAAAAAACGACAGATAAAAGTTGTGTGTTGGGCCTGAGCGTTTCGATTATGACGTTTTCTCCCTTTTGAGTTTGCTAGTGTTGCAAAAGCAAACACTGTGATCAAGGTTAATGTTTTAATTTCTATTAATGCTTTCTTTCACGTACCTGTACCTTCCAAATAATATAGGAACGGGATGTTTAATATGCATAGCGTTGTGCCCTGTTTTAAATCTGTTTCTCTTTCCTTCCATTGCATCCATTTAATAACAACAACAACAATAATGACTTCTAAAGATTTTAAGAAACAAGAGAACCTGAATTTTGAGCATGTTTTAGCTTTTAATATTTGAAGCAAAGCCATCCATCTACCAAAACAGATTCTTTGCCTTTTATAGCTTAGAGCTGTAATGAAGACAATGCATCATTTTTGGAATAATTGCTTGAATTACTATTCCCTGTGAATGGCCCACTTGGGCTGATATCACTGGTAGAAATGGAAGGTTTCTTTCCCAATTCTTAGTTATATTTTGCATATATCAGTGATTATGGCAATATGATAAGTTCCTCTAAACATAAAGCCTGAATATTTAATAAAAAGAGAAATGATGATTAAAATCAAGCCAGAGTCTATACATCAGAAACATGGTGTGCTATTTGGAAAAGACTCACCTATTCACATATACAACAACCATGCTCGGCCTTTCCATTTAAGAGCATCAAACCAGTCTCTTCCTTGCAACAGCAAAGCATTTGACATACTTACAGCTGACTCTCAGCCAATCCACATTAGAGACCTAGCCAAGGGAGAAGCATTCATCCTGGTAGGTGATAATAAATTGCAAAATCGTGACAGTATCACCATTGTACCAGGATGACTCCCCGCCCCTTCCCTGAAAGATTGTCTTTAGCATCTGGTGATAGCCATAGCTTCTTCAAGAAACATTTGGATCTTAGCAAAACTGGGTATGCTGGCTTGCAATACAGTAAATCATTTGCTTCATTCTCTTGCAGATATACTTGCCACCCATGATAGTTAGAATTAAATGAAGCAAGCCATATAAGATACCCAACCCAGTGTTCAATATGTCCTCAGTTATTACTTATCATTATGATCATTTTATTTATTATATTGATTACTTCTTTATATATTCATGGCTAGGTAAAAATTGAACGTAGATAACATTTATGTCCTCTTTTTCCTTTCAAACCTTTTGCCTCGAGTAATAACGGTTAATACATATCGTGAAAAAGTACATGTATATTTCTTTTTTCTTTAGTGCATGTATTTTCTTAGCTCTGGTTGCTATTAAGCAATCTGTGTTCTTCTAGAAGCTATTTTAATTTAAAATAGCCATTGCTTATAAGCCTTCTTGGAGTAGTGAGAGTGAATAATAGTTTGACCCCAAAACTAGTCACATAGAATTTGAAAATAATTAATTTTATGCTTTAAGTCTAAACCGCATTATAAAATTAGACCTGAAGTACCTCATGGTCCCCCTTTCAAAGTTTGTAGATTTGTGCAGAAGAAGGAAGTAAAAACATAGCCATTGAGTTCCCTCTTGAAATTTTCTTAAATTGGATCTTTAATGTGCCCTGTGCCTACTGTCTGTATTTAGTAAATGGTCAGAAATCCTTATCAGTACCATCGCTGTTGGCTTAACCTGACTTTCCTTTTGTCTACTTTAGTTGAAATGGATAGTCTTTCTGAACTATCCCAGCAAGGTGCCAATCATGTCAACTTTGGCCAGCAGCCGGTCCCAGGGAACACAGCCGAGCAGCCTCCGTCCCCCGCGCAGCTCTCCCATGGCAGCCAGCCCTCTGTCCGGACCCCTCTACCGAACCTGCACCCTGGGCTTGTGTCAACGCCCATCAGTCCTCAGTTGGTCAACCAGCAGCTGGTGATGGCTCAGCTGCTGAACCAGCAGTATGCGGTGAATAGACTTTTAGCCCAGCAGTCCTTAAACCAACAGTACTTGAACCACCCTCCCCCTGTCAGTCGATCTATGAATAAGCCTTTGGAGCAACAGGTTTCAACCAACACAGAGGTGTCTTCCGAAATCTACCAGTGGGTACGTGATGAACTGAAACGGGCAGGAATCTCCCAAGCCGTATTTGCACGTGTGGCTTTTAACAGAACTCAGGTCAGTTTTGTTCTCTTGGTAATGTTTCTCTCTCTCTTTTTCTCTCTTCTTTCTTTAGTCCCATCTTTTACCAATGCTTGTACTTCGTGTTAACATTTGATTCTTACTGTCATGTGATCGTATTGTCTGTTCTCGGGGTTGCCTAAGCTTTATCACTCCTTTCCCTGTCATGAACCTCCAAGAAAGAACTATATACAGATCGATCTCAATTCAGGGGCCTTGAAAGAATAAATTCACTGTCAATTATATTTCAAACTGGCATTGCCTATCCTTTTACATAATGAGAGCACAGGCTGGTAGTAGTAGCAGATTGAGAAATGTTTCATGATTTGGCCAGGGCCGTTGGTAGGACTCCTGGCTTCTAGCCTACTACTGTCTTTCCCGTTACCCCCGTGTCAAACATGACTATGTACATGTGCCCTGGGTTTATGTTCCAGTACAACTTTTGGTGGGGGGAACCCAAAAACATTGTGGTACTCAATAGCAATTTCTGCCATTTAATTTGAACAGCCGTTGGGGGCGGGGAGGATACATATATGTATACATATGGCTTACTAACCTAAAGTGTTTCTTAGCTTTGTCCTCTCCCCCTTTACGTTATTGTTAGTATTTCTCCAGACTTCATTCTTTAGATCAGAGATCAGCAAATCTTTTCTGTAATAGTCCAGATAGCAAACATTTTAGGCTTTGAGGGCCGTAAGAGCTGTGTCAGTGTCCTGTGTTAGGCAGCCACCGACAATAGGTAAATGGATATGAGTGTCCTGGTGTTTCAGTAAAACTATTTACAAAACTGGCCCCGGGGATAGGTTTGGCCGGCAGGCCTTAGTTTGCAGACTTCTCCCTGAGATCTGCATACACCCCCTCGTATTCACACCTTTGTCCTCCTGGGCAAATACCTGTGAAGATATTATCAGCAGGGAAGATGTTTAGAGGGACCTGGAGAAAGAGTGATAATATGATATGGGAAGGCCTTAAGATGAAAAGCCTGAAACAAATCCATTCTATTAAATTGTGAATGAGAGGAATTTTTTATTTCTTTTTTTGGAAATTAATATAATATGTATGGTGTTTATTTTTGGCCCAGGCACACTAAAAAAACCAAGAGAACATGTAACTTTGATTAGAAATCAGGACATTATGTCCTTCAACTTTCTTGTTTTACCACTGTTCTTTTGTCAATTTGTTTTTTGGCCTCATACTTTCTTTTCATATTTAAGTTATTTTGTTTATTACATGATTATAAGAATGAGATTCTGGTACAAAAATAATCTAGTATTAATTCCTTGTTGGCAGTTTCCATACCTAGGAGAATCCCAGCAGTGACTTATTTTTGGCTTGCCTTAACTGGATTGAAAGTTAGGAGGCCTGACAAAGCCTTTAACTAACTCACTGTTTGTTTTCACTTTCTTTATCTGTTTTTTTGTGCATCATTTGTCTTTTTTGAAGGGTAGTTGCAGAAGGTTATGTCTCAGGTTAAGATTGTATGATTTTACCTAGTTCTCTATTTTTACAACTTAAAAAATGTGTTCATTAGTAGCTGGTAAATTTCATGATACCATATTCAATTGGGAAGCAGTAATTTAAAGAATTGAATGAATGAATGAATGAATGAATCAAGAATCAACCTCTAGATAATCCCGTTTCTGGCAGCATTCTTTATTTTTGGAAATAGCAGTGACTGCTAGTATTTCTCAGTACTGGGCAAAAAATAGGTCTCTACATAAAAGATCAGTAAAATGCTTGTCAATTTAATTGAAAGCCCACGAAGACTAACATTGACATGAACACAAATGAAATACAGATTTACTGATAAATGTTTTAAAAATTGAGCAATTTGTTATTTCTTAAAGCACTAAGGAATGTATTTTATATGGTGAAGAATGACAAGAGAGGTTAGCTGAGGGATGTGTGAAGTCACTTTCCATCGGTACAGTTTTTCTTCTCTTGGGTTTTGATGTCACACCATTACTCTGAAGAGTTGATCACTTGTTCTGCATTTGGTTCTCACACTGACTGATTCCATGCATCTCTCTAGGATTTGCTGCTGGAAAGAAGGCAGAATTAGAATTCACTCTCTTTTTTATGCTATATTAATCTCTTTGAAAAGATAGTTATCTCTGTGGTTAACATCAAAAACAGTGACTTAAATTTTTCTTAGGGTGGTAGGGGAATGAAAACAGTGACAGCTTTGGTATCGAGCTCTCTTTATTAAAAAGAGCTAATGTAGAAAAAAGTTACTACCATAAAAATTATTTGGAGCCCTGGGTGATAGAAGGATTTGGTTTTAAACCTTTATATTGGTAATTGGTATCCTCAGTCGAAGTGGATATTGGCCGTATTTGAAGCTGTTTGACTTAAATAAGTGTAATTTTCTATGTATATTTAAGTGTTCACTTTTGGGGAACGAGCTCTTAAACATGCAAGCATACATGTGTTTTTGGTGGTCATACTTAAAAACCACACACGCACGCGCGCACACACAGCTGCATTTATTTTAATGATTATACATTCATATGAATGCATGTAGTGTGTTTATTTCAAAGTGTATGCATTTCAATAAAAGCAGGTGCAGAGTGAGAGTGTATGGTGTGAGTGTGGAGTACGAAAATACACATGCTAATGCATATGTATAGACAAGGAACTCTGCAGAGTTAAATCACACATCACACATTTGTGTGCACTTATTACAATGTGCAATTCCAACTCCAAGTTTTAAAAAATTAATGTAAAATATGTACATGCAAATGCAAAGTTATGATATGATCAGATAAGGAAACTGGTACCCTATAAACAGTATGTTAAAACATTAATATAATAGATAAAACTAACATGAATTGAGACTATTTTAGTCATTGACAGCTCTGTGCAACTTTAAAATCCTGGATTTCATGTTTTAACTCTTAACTGGAGAATTTTCTTATCATCCTAATTGGGTCTCCTAAAACCCCTCTTTTAAGACTTTCACACTTGACTATTAAAAAAAAAGTTTACCTTTTCTGAAAATTTATGGTGAAATTTATATAATTACTTGTTCTAAGGACTTTTTCCCCCTTCTGAATTGATGGGCATATGTTCTTTAATTGCTACTGAAGATACCAGCTTTTAGCATATGTCATTCATTCAGTTATGCCTACTTGATGTCTTTTTAACGGAAACCTATGGCTAAAAATAATTGCCAAAGCTTCTAGATTTATACTTTTCAGTTCACTTCTCTGTATTATTGCTATTTAAGGATTGTGATAGAAGCAAATATATTTGTTAGTGCCTTTTTTTTTTTTTTTTTTAATAAAACCCAGAGTTAACTCTGATCCCATTCTGTGGCTTTTTTCCCTTTTTTCTCCCCCCTCCTCTTGTCTTTGGCACACTTTATTTTCCAGTAAAATAAAGAATGAAGATGGATTATTCAAAACTGATAACAGTAATGGACCATCATGTAATGTTTTATTGAATTTGAGTTCTGTAAATTATGTGGTGGAGAGAAATTTGCCTGCTTAAGTATAACAGAAATTGCTACTGTGTTCCTATAATTCTTCACAGTGTAATTTAAGGAAAGTCCACTATCCATATCACTATTGAATAAAAGGTAAAAAGGTGCTATTACCCCAACGTGACAGCTCTCATTTAGCCTCCCAAGCGACAGAGATAAATGCGTCTGCTTATAACTTACTTGGCAGGAGTCCAAGGTAGTAGGTGGAGTTGAAAATAGTCTTTCACCTGGACATGTGATTAAAAATTCACAAAACAACAGAGGCAGGTAGTCTTGAAGAATATTCAACATATTTTCTTTTTAGAGAGGGAAGTTTCATGAAATCATATTTTTCTTCTGAGGGCTTTGAAGTTCCATGAAGCTGATAAAATCTATTTGAATCAGTGATTATGTTCAAAGAGGAGACAAACGGGAGGCCAGACAGACCTTTTGTTCTATTGGCAGTCTCTTTCGCCTATCTGCTGTTTTAAAGAATTCATAATTAGCTTTTGGAAGCCCTGATAATATTTATTGAAGGTTTTTTCTTTCTTTTACAATTACTAATGAATTTTACTTGTAATAACTTGTAAACTCTTTGGAATGTAAAAAAGGTTTAGGAATTCATCAGTCAGTTCACTCTTTAAGTGAAAAAAATGGGAATTCTCACTTCACCCCTATGTAATGACAGTGCAGAATAATTTTATATTTTTAGGTATAAAGCACGTAGTACATTACTTGAAGATGTAAAGTCCCAATGAAAAGCAGCTTCTCATTTCCAATAAAATTAATATTCATGAGTTGGTAACTTACTGTATAACATAAATTCTCAAGTTATTTTCAGACACAAGAATGACTGATGATTTTGTTTGATTTTGTTCAGTAAATTCATTGAGCACCTATGGTGCACAGTACTGATGATTTGTTTTAGTCCTGATGTTTTAGTGTATTCTCTGAGATAGCACGTAAGGTACATGATGACCTTGACATATGATTTTTTAGCACGAAGGAAAAATTTTGGTAATAGATACCTCTTACTGTTCATGGGGGATTACTACAAATGACCTTGACCTAAGTCTGAACTGTATTTTTGACTGGGAAACAGGGGCCATGTACACCTTGAGTCCGTAAATGCACCTACTCAGATAACAACAACTTGAACAGGACAAGAACATGCATTCCCATATTCAGATTCTAATAGTCATTTTACATCCAGATTTACTCTCAAGTGACATGATTTTTTTTTAGGGGGGTAATTAACACATTCTAATCAAAACATTTCCTAACAATATTTTCAAGCATTTCCACCAGGGGGCACTCCCCTCATTGAAAGCCTGGGCCAAAAAAAAAAAAAAATTCCAAAGGTTTCTAAATCACCTGACACTGTCTAGTCTGGCTGCTTTAGAGCTCGTTGAGTGTTCCAGGATTTGAAATACCGCTTTAGACCTTAACATATTGCAGGCAGAAAAACTGTACTTGCTGCAGTAGAATAATTAAGTGGAAATAAATGCTTTGCCCCTAAAACATTTTATATGCTCAACTGAGAAGTCATACCAACATCACAATATGGGTAGAGGAAATTTTAAATTTTCTCCCAGGTGACCTACTATCTTCTAGTTTAAGCATGCAGGGATGACTTAGTTTCATGTTAACAAGGCTTGATAGAGAATATTATTATGTATTTTTTTCATGCGTTTGCTTTTCTCACTATAGTTCTCTCCTGTCTCAGAAGATGATACAGTATTTTGTTATTTGAGATTTGTAAATGTCTAATTTCAAATTTCCCAAACACAATAATGTCTTAAATATTTATAGGATCTCTTTTGACCTAATCTGTTTTTTTTAAATTAACTGAATAGTTAATGTAGATAAACGTCTTACAAAGTGCCACATAACTTTTCATTGAAGCCTTACCTTGATTAAATTAAGAATTACCATTAGAATTTACCCATGAGTAGCATATCTTGTTCTTAAGTTTCTATCAGTCATTCACAATTTTTTCCTTTTGCGGTCTGAATACACATAATTAATCTATGTAGTAAATATTTATCAAACACTTATGTGGTAGGCATTGTGCTGGGATGACAAAAATGAATATTAGGTTATTATGCTCAGGGAATTGATAACATTGTATTTATACTGTACATTTCTGTCTCTCTTGATTTCTGTGTAGTTCATGTATATTGCTTTGCCAAGCACATCTTTTAATATAGAACATTTGCCGAGGAAAAGTAGAGCGTAAGGACTATTTTTTTACACCTCTTTTCAGCATTTTTTGAGACCTGTATTTTTCGGTTTCAATGTGACACATCAAAAACACAGTCAATCTAATTAGTTGGCCTTGTGCAAATTAAATAGGTGGATGATTGACTGCCTGTTTGACTGAATTTTAGTTAAATTGACTGGATGTTTTTATTCTTGTATAAACATAGTTGCAGCATTACTTGTCAGTCTTATGAAGGAAAGGACATGCACCCTTCATTCTTCAGTCACATTTTTTAATGGTGAAACTGAAAGTTCGGGTCCACTCTCCAGGTTTTGGATACAGGAACAAATGAGAGACTAAAATTTACTCTTAAGCCCCCTCAGCCTATTGGAGGTTCTTTTTAATAGCAGCCGATTAACCATTTTTAAAGTGGACAGTGCTTCTATACTATCTGCATGTACGTGTTATATGTGGGCAATATGGTACCTTATCCCTGAGGAATTAGGAACAAAACTACGTTTGCACTTCTAGGAAACCATGAAAAAATCCAAATGTTATCATCTTTAGTCTCAATCATTTTGATATGACACTTGGCCTCCCCTTCCCCAAATGTTCCCTTTCACCGTTTCTGCAGGGTTATTGGAAAGTGAAGTTTGCAAATGACATGGCGATCTAGACAACATTTTTATTTGGAGCTATCTTGTGATAAACTGATATTCTGGCTAATCGTAGAAAGCAAATGTGTCTTGGTATTCCAGGCATTATTTCATGTACAACATGGAAGAGGTAAAGGCTGCTCAGTTCTTATCAAATGGGCAGAAAATTTTTGTAATCCTTCTGTTTCATATAATTCCTTAAACAAAAATGAGGAAACCCACTCATTTTTGAAAGGCTTCTTCCAAAAATTAAAAAAAAAGGTTGACAATTAATGCTCTAGTATTTGGAGAGAGAGAGACACCTTAAAGGAGTTTACTAATGGTTGGTAAATTTCTTCTGTCACTAATAAAGACTTATATTCCTTAAGAAATTTGGCAACTAAAGAATTTAATAGTATTCTTTTCCTGGGCATGCCGTGATGGATTTTTGCAATGTAAAAAAGGGGTTATGTATTTCAAATTTAATCAGTGGTTTTCTGAAGTTCAGAATTTCAACGTGTTACCCAGAGGTATAGTTATAGCATGACAGTATTTAGAATTATTCAGGGTAGGCTGTATAGTTTCCTTAAATGGTAAGTAGAAGGAATCACTTGTCATTAATTTGAAAATTAAGGGATAACTTAAAATATTGCCTTTGAAAACATAGCATGCTTTAGTAATATTCTTTTTTCTAATATGTTACAATTCATTTTCTGGTATTTTCTTTGAAAGTTCTCCTTCTCTAGAAGTGGCTTTGTATCTTTACATATTGGGCTGTCGGCATTCCACTGCCTTTGTCTAGGCAACTTGAGAACTATACAGTTCACTGCTGTTGTATTATGAGCATTTCATTTATTCTTAACTTCCCTCGATCGTCTCCCTGTGAAAGATTTCATGGCAAGTTAAGCTACTCAAAGGAAGGAGACCAATTAGACAGTTTCAGTTTGTGTTATGTGTAAAGCAGATGCTTAATAAAATTAAGAATACAATTGAGGCTCTCCTCTCTACCACTTCAATTGTAACTCATATTTCTGTGTAGGATTAATGCTTCTGACTATTCATTTTCTAAACATAGTGGAGAAGGAGAGGGAAGGGTCCCCGGTGGCTGGCTGGGCAGAGCTCAGGAGCAAGCTCACTCTGTGCCTTTCATTCCCTGCAGGGCTTGCTTTCAGAAATCCTCCGCAAGGAAGAGGACCCCAAGACTGCATCCCAGTCTTTGCTGGTAAACCTTCGGGCTATGCAGAATTTCTTGCAGTTACCAGAAGCTGAAAGAGATCGGATTTACCAGGATGAAAGGGAAAGGAGCTTGAATGCTGCCTCGGCTATGGGTCCTGCCCCCCTGATAAGCACACCGCCCAGCCGCCCTCCCCAGGTGAAGTCTCCTGTCCTCTTTTCCCTTCTTCTCCTTCTCTTTCTTCTTCTTCTTCTTCTTCTTCTTCTTCTTCCTCTTCCTCTTCCTCTTCCTCTTCCTCCTCTTCCCCTCCTCCTCCTCCTCTTCCTGTTCCTCCTCCTCCTCTTCCTGTTCCTCCTCCTCCTCTTCCTGTTCCTCTTCCTCCTCCTCCTCCTCCTCCTCTTTTAATGTTTGAGGAAGAATCTCAGCAAGAAATTGGAAAGATAGATGAGTAGTTATCAATTTTTCTAAAAATAATAATTCATAGGGTTGCTTGAGGAGAAGTTGGTCCCAAATCAGTGATTCTGATATAAAAACAATAAGCTACTAATTAGAGGAAAGAAAATTGCTTTGTGTTGCTTCCTTTTGGAGGTTCTTTGGGGGTGAAAAGTAGTCTTTAAATGGGATGTTTGTCTGAACTACAATTATTAAAGAAACATTTAAAACTCAATAGGAAAAAAAGTAATAAAGTCAGTTTTATCCCTATGAGTTTTAGAACTGCCATTTGAATAGTAAATAAATAAAAATAAATAAATAATTCCATTTGTATTTATGCTTTCTAATACGAAGTGCAGCTGGTACCAATTACACATCATCTCGTTTGTAATCTTTCATAATTAAGTTTAATACAATCCTTGAAGGCAGCTTTAAATGGGGTGGATAAGGAATTCCACCCATATTCCCAGAAATGGGCACATTTTCTATTTCCCAAATTTTTGTACTTTTTAGAAAGGACAAAAGTCACCATGCGGGTAACTTTGTGTCCGTGCATCTATATTTTAATTTTTTAAATCAAGTTTTAAAGATAGCCTTATAATTCAATAATAAAAAAGATAAAAGTTTGATAGTGTATTAGACTTAAAATCAGTAGGCAAATATATTTCTTACACATTTATTGCATGTACAGCTCTTAAAAATAAGGTCAGCTAAAACTGGATAAAAATTGAATATGGAACACAGATTCAAAGTATTCATGTAGTATAATGTCATCCTGAAATCATATCTTGATGTTAATTTCTTTTCATCAACAGTAAAAAAATGAAACAAAACACCTTCCGTGTATGGAAGTATAGAAAAAGCACATTCAGCACTAAAAATGAAACTACCACAGATCCTTCATCGATAAGGAATAGATATAATATTCAGCCACTTGTTGAGGTTCTTAAGCTCTATGTTATAATGTTATGAAATGAATCTTCTTTAGAAACATCCAAAGTCCGTTTTCTCCATTTTATGTAATGAAAATCAATTTGGTCTTAATGTCTAGGGCACAGACTGTAAGGAAGTCATTGCTGTAATTGTGGATAAGAAAGTCATGTGTCTGTAGCAGAGAAGAATGCTATCTATCTGCATATATACATATCCACCTGCCTACACACACAATTATTGAATTTGATCTGTAAAGCCTTCTGTAAAATATTTCTTAAGAGAAAGAATGAGGATATATATATATGACTTTATATGACATATATATATATGACTTTATATGGTATATATATATATGACTTTTTAAATGATTAAACAAAAAATACTGTACTTTGGACTTGGTTTAACACTTAGTTTGTGGTGTTTAGAGTTAATACACCATCATTAGTTAACTTTGCTTCCACAATCAACACAGAAGGCCTCTGGGCAAAGAGTTATTTTACTTATCACTTAATCTGCAATACTAACAAAAGAATTGCTTACTTAAGATCAGTATGAACTTCAGCATTGAGCTGTTTCTTTTTTCTTTTTTTTTTAATCTATCCAAATATTTGACTTAGTAGTTCCTTAATGCAGTTTTTGTTTTCTAATTTTTCTATGATCGCAGTGCTTTTGTTTTTCTAAATGTGATACTGCTGTCCTTATTGATCAAGTTTTTTCTTTAGCCACATTTACAGTAATTCTTAAATGGTATTTCTTTTCATGTACTATTAAGATACTCTTGGGTAGCTCCCCTATATATGTGTCTAAAGACTATGTCTGCTGATAAGTTGGGATAGAAAATATAGTTTATTTTGGCCTGCATTATTGATTAACTGGTTGAGCCACCCTTCGTTATATTTGTTCTCAAGAGGGGTTGAGACCAAGCCCTTAGCTGGGATATCCAGCCAATGATGAATGTGTAAGGTATGTAGATACCACAGATTCTTAGTAAAACTCTTTCAAAGGAGAAAAGTTTCTGTTAATGCGATATTACTAGCCATCTAACCAAATTCCGAAATGATTACCTGATGTGTGTATAATTTTATTTCACTGCTATAATATGCATCTTCGAGTATCTTAATTTGCCTCACTGAGAATCCCTTTGCATTACTTAATATTATTGTAATAGAACTCACAACCAGTTTGTTCACCTTTACCCTTTAACAGTGACTTTATGAATGATATTTTAAGAAATCTTTGATGTATTAAAAGTATTATCAATGTAAAATGAGTACTTAAGATTTGGACAAATGTTTCAAGCAGCCGAATTAGTAGTGTTTTGCAACCGTTGAAATTGAATGCTTTTAAAAGGGAACCAATACACTATACTTAGGGTTTTAATATGCATATTACAAATGATTAAAATGGAAGGGGAAAAAGGACAAAACCACAAATACAGAAACAGACTGCAGAATTTTGTCTTTTGTAATTTTAAGTTTTGACAAAGATGAATCTATTATTGCATTTCATTTCCCCTTAAATGAAGAGATTCGAAACATATTTTGAGACAAGTCTTTGACTTAGGTTGAAACCAAACCCTGATTTTCTTGACCTGGGCTGAGATCAAGAGTCGGACGCTTAACCGACTGAGCCACCCATTCGCCCTTAAAGAACTGCTTTTTAAAGGCAGAGGTCCCTTGTGGCTCACAGGAGATCTAGACCACCTTTAGGCCCAAGAGAGCTGGATTCTCTTCCAGCTCCTACCCTGTAGAGTTGAGGTCACACGGAAGATGATTGAGATGACCTCCCCGGGTCATACCAGACTGAGGACCTACACTGTTGAGGAACTCGGATTCTAAATTATATTTAAGAAAAAACTTCCCTGCTTTTAGTCAGGCCCCAAGGTTTATTCCAAGGAATACTTCCCCTGGGAAGATCTAGACCAGCCTCAGAAATCACCACAGCTCTTGCCTAGGTGAGATGCCTCTGGTACAGACCTGTCCCTTGTGCTTCAAGAGGGGCAGCTGTGCCGTGAGCTTTGTCCTGTCTGCAGCAGTAGGCTCCAGGCCGAACCTGTTTGCTGAAAGCCTATTTTCATAAGTTACATGTTCTAATTCAAGAAATAAGAATATCTTGTACTTGATAATAGTTCACAGTTCTCTAACACCTTCATGCCCATGAATTCATTGGATCCTCATACCAATCTTTTGGTTGGAGAAAGAGGAGAAAACCGAATTTAAGGTTGAGTCTGTTTTCACATCCCCTGTTAAGTCTCTTGCTCTTTCTCCTACCTCAGGCCACCTTCTCAAAACACAAACACTTTGGAAAGGGGAAAATGAAACTTGGGGAATTTTTCAGTTTGTCACAAAGGATGGGAATTTTATTTTTAGATTAGGAAGAAGAACACATATGAGAACCTTCTCCTGATAGAATACGTTAAATGTTTGACAAATGATCCACTCTTGAAGACTTCAGACAGTTGGGCGTTTCTGAAATGGTGGAGAAAATAGCCCTTTCCAAACTTTGCTTGTAGGAAAATGTTGGGGGAACCCCAAGCCCTCCAAAGCTCCCTGGTCCTAAAGGCTTCTTTTCTTATTATGCTTAGCAAATTTTACGAATGAGTTTCTAAGAGGAATTTGATTAATAATAATTAGTGATTACTTTCTGGAACTTGTCTGTTCCACAGATAAGTTTTAAGTTGATGATTTCTATTTAGGTATGTGCTTATTCTGATTTTATTTATGTTTTTAATATGTGTGACTTTTGGAGTTAAGTTAGCACTTTTCTGTTTCCATTAGGACTGTTTGAAAGCCTGTAATTATCAAGTTATAAATTCTACATGAATTACATAATGATTTTTTCTTTATATTTTTATATCTTTCTGTAATTCTTTAGTTTCTTCTAAAGGAAGATAGGATATTTTATAACAGTGCTTTAGAAAATGTAGTAAGTTCATATAAGCAATGTATAATTAATCTAGTAGCTGCACCCTTCTGTCTCTTTCCAACAAAGTCTTCTAGAATATAATCAAACATAGGTTCAGTTATGGGCAGGAACTTAACACTTGATAAAAGTTTTGTTATAAATTGCTTGGCCAGCATGATTTTAAGATCTTACATGCTCATAAAATGCTTCCCATTACCAGTCATCTTTTAAAATACTAGACTTTTTAAAGTCCATATTTGGAAAATAATTAAGGTTGTTCCTAAAAAGAACAGAAAGAAAAGTATAAAAAGATAGAACCATGATATTCAAGACAGTGTTAATATACAAAAATTTGAAAATGGGAACCATTTTCTATCACCAGTAAGAATACCTCAAAATAGCACATTTCTTACATAACATTACCAAGAAAACATTTATAGTTTGCATACCTTGGCAAATAAATTCAGGTTGGATTTGTAAAATGAACGACAAAGCCATTTGCTAAAAATTAGACATTAATGAGCCAGATTTAGCAAAGGGCCACCAAAAAGCAGATCCAGCGTGTCTTTAAAAAGTTAGAATTTTTCCAAATAAAGAAATCCTGTATAACATCATGACTTCAGTACAGTGCAGTAGTTTCTAAGATAAGCATTAGCGTTAGACTTCAGTTTAGATCTCATGTTACCTTATGAATAAATTTTTGTTTTAGGAGAGTTTTCTCAATTTTAAGATGGGGCAATAATAGTACTTATTCAGGGCTTTTGTGCAGGTGAGAGCTAATGTACCTGAACATGATGCCCAGCACGTGAGAAACAAGTAATAAATGCCAGCCTTTGTTATTATCATAATTATTATTAAAATTACATCAAACTTTAATCGCGTGTGTGTGTGTTTGCACACATGAGCTATGTGCTTGCCTTGCAGGCAGTTCCTCCTCAATCAAGGAATAATATGTTCAATCAGGACCACAGTAGAGTTCGTTTCGTGCTGTACATATGTAGTATGTAGCATGTATATAGCATTTAGAGTTCCTTTTCTAGTATGATTTGATGCGTTCAGCAATCCAGGAAGAAACAATAGAATTCTCATGGAAAATTTGTGTTCTACTGCACAGTTTTAGGGAAATAATAAAGCTGACCCTGACCCTAGTGCTTGCACCCTCTCCTCACGTGGGAGGGTAAAGAGTAGGAGCTCCAATTCCTTACTACTTACCAGGCGCCGCTGTAATGATGGAGTAGTATGCCCTACCTTGATAAAAGCTATTCGGAAAGCAACTGCATTTATTTTACCTCCTGTGCTATTTGCGGAGAAGAGCTGAAGAGTAGTTTGTTTTGCCTGGAATGAACTACTTTATGAATTTTAATGTGTGATATAATATTAAAAGCTAAACCAGGATTAAATAAGATTTTTTTTGTACTAAGCTAAAATAGTACTTAGTAGAGTGAGGTATAAAAGATTTTTGTTTCCATTTTTACCTGGGGAGAAATTCAGCTTTCATATTTTTGAAAAGCTGTCCAAGTCAGTTCCCCTTAAGCAATAGCTTGTGTTTAGGAAAAAATGTGATTCCAGAATTCTAATAGCTTATCTATGATAAGATATGTATCCGAGCCAACAAGATGATAAAGAAGAGCTTTTCTAAATATTTTTAAAATGAGTAATACAAAGTTTCTTTATATTTTAAAAAATTGTTGCTCTTTTTTTTTAATTTTTAAAAGTTTCATGTGTATGTCTTTTCCACTTTTGATTATGTTGGCTACTAGGAAACAGTTATTTGATTTTTTTTATGATTTGAAATTCTTTTTGGTTCAAGTTGTAATTGTTTTAGTAAAAAAAATTAAACAATGAAATTTTTAGAAACCAAATCACAGGGTTGAAACAAATGATTATAGCCCACCTCAAAGATAAATTCTTAAACATAGTTTTTACAAAAGAAAGAAAATTATTTTAAAAACATATTGAAACAAGAAGTTTCCAAAGCCTGCTCTCTTAACAATTGCTAAGCAGATGCTACCAAGGAACTATTTCTTCCAATGCACTGGACTTCATGCCCCCATTTCCATAACATTCAATTTTCAAAGCGATTGAAATGGCTTTTCTTCTCTCTTTCATTTAAACAGTGAGAAAAATAGGTATTAAAAGAGACCCCATGGGGTGATCAAATCTATCCTTCTGCCTCAAAGCAAGACCACCCCAGAGCAAAGTTGCGAATCTCACCAAAGCAACTTTGTAGGCAATTTATGGTAATGCGTTAACTCTTCTGGCTCCTAAAGTGGTATTTAGGAGATTATTGCTTCAAAGCCCTGTGTATGTTCTTAGTGGCCTCCAGTCGTTAATATTACCTCCGTGAGTGCCCTTGCTTTCTGGAGCCACAGAGCTAGAAGGGGGACTCTGGAAATCGAGCCTACACACTTGCCATCACTGTCTGCAGCTTAGAGTTTAGCAGTGGCAAATGACACTTTCTATGTCTTCACTTGGGCCTGTGGTGCACTCATTTCACAGCATTTTCCTTTCAGTGCTTAGAAGGGTAGTGACAAGGTGGAAAGCTCTAGCTGCCTCCTCCAGATAAGCAAGAGGTGAGTTATTTTGCTGACTGGCTAGAAGTTAGAAGGCATGTTTTAAAGACTCCTAATCACTCTCTTAAGTGCAGAGGATCGAATTCCTTAGGATAACCTCTGCCCGTCTTGTGATACCAAATATTAGGGGGAGAATGAAGTAGACCCGAAAGACTTGTAGCGTGACTAAAAGGGTGTATCATTTCATGACAAAAGAAATCCTTCATTTATTCCAAAATGGACTTCATTTTCTATTGCTCATTGTATATGTGAACAGAAACCTGGGTTCTGGAAAGGATCCTAAGAAACATGGTCCTCAGTGAATCATCTGGCTGGGAGAAACAGGGTCCTGAATCTGGTAACTTTTCGTTTACATTTTCACCAATTTCCTAGTGAAAAAGCAACTACATGGTTCATATGTAAATTTTCCAGGCTGGTTCACATAACTGCATAATAAAAATTAAATTTGGAGTTTTAAAAATTAATAACAGTATCAATACATTTTGAGGTTGAGATTTTATTTTTACCCCAAAATTTTGTGTCATTTTACTGCTGATACCTGCTTATCATTATTACCAAAGGCATTGATACTAATTTTTCACTCAAGATTATTCATTTTGAATATATTTATAAAGTCACTGATTATATAATTTGTGTTAACTTGCAGTAATGTTCTGTTAAATATTGTGAAACATTTTCTTATTGTCTGGTTCCACAAGTCAAAAGGAAATAGTTATGTACAGGGGTGCCAGGAAAAGATGAAATAATTATACAGAACAGCTTGGACATGCACGTGTAAAATGCAACCAGCCTTTATGATAATTAAGCAAGGCACTCTACCTGTTTCATGGATGGATAGAAGATTTAAATATGCAGCTCTGCAAATGGCTTTGTTATGGAAGATTTTTTAAGTGAAACATAAGAGGAACAGGCATAAAAAAAGAGTCTAAAATTAAAAAGGCCATAGTAGTAATAGCTATCAGTGATGCAACTGTCTGTTAGGCACCGGGCACCCAGTGAAGATACAGCACTGGGCATTATGATTTTAATTGTGAATTTCCTTTGTTAGAGTTGCAATGGACAGTAATTGGGAAACAATTAGTTTAGGGTTTTCAAGTCTTTGAAACTATTCTGTTTTCCAGAAAACTTACTTTATGGCATTCTAATTCCTGTTTGTCAGCTGGCAGTGGCTGTCTTATTATAGATGCATTCACCTGTGACAATGTGACTTTCTTAACTTAAGCAATCTGATCTCAGGGTAATAACTAATGTTGAATGACTGCACTGTTGCTCACCTTGATCATAAAAGGAGCAACAGTGTCCAGTTTGGATGCCGAGCCTGAAAAGCTTCAAAACAATTTGGCCAATGAAAAATGACAGTCACGTTCAAAATGTTTTGTAGGTGAAAACAGCTACTATTGCCACTGAGAGGAATGGGAAACCAGAGAACAATACCATGAACATTAATGCTTCCATTTATGATGAGATTCAGCAGGAAATGAAGCGCGCTAAAGTGTCCCAAGCACTGTTTGCAAAGGTTGCAGCAACCAAAAGCCAGGTAAGAACCTTGGTGAGGCACTGAGAATGTTGATCTGCGATGCCTGTGAAAATTTCATTCAGAGGGGTGTCTGTTTGCAATATGAACCTGCATCGCATCGCTGATAGGGCAAGGTCTCCAGGATCCTTGACAGAGCTCTGTGATGAAACAAAGTGTCGTTCAGATTCAGGGAGTAGATATGTGATTTTGTTTCCTCCAACACCCACTCTCCAGACCAGGGATTTCTCAGGAAATCTCAGGGTCAGTTAATAGTTGTTTTCAGAAGAGTATCGTAATGTATAGGCAGTTTCTCAATGTGGTCTATTGTACTGGTACAAGTAACTTGAATTACTATTGTTTCATTATTGCTCAGATGACCTTGATTTCCTTCCTAAAAGACTACAAACGTAATAGTTTCTTCTGTTCCAACTCAGGCATCCACAACTATTAGGTACACTTACTAAAACAAACTGGCGCGCCCGCCACATGTATCTTTGCACATTAATGACCTTAGTTTTTCCATAGATGCACAATATATAAACCATACACATTGAATTACAGTTAGAAAACCTGTCCAAATCTGATGAATTATAAATGAATAGAATTGAATCGGAAAAGTTAGAAGTCCCTACCAAACAAGTTAAAAACATAACAAAGGAGAGATAATGCAGTCCTTTATCAGTATAATGTTCATATATTGAAAATTTATGCTCATCAAAAGCAGCAGGGTCATCTATAGGAACAAATTTATAATTACTTATAAACCCTCGTTCAACGCCAAGAATACTTTTTAAAGGACCAGAAGAATACTAAACTGTCTTCCCCTTCCAACAGTAGTTGGTAACATTATTAAGGTGGGAATTTAGAGGCAGTCAAGGGCTCAGGTGAGATTTTAACAACTTGCGATTTTAAACAAATATATTTTCTGGATCATTAATGAACTCTCCTTTATAAAAGAGCCTGGCTGCCGTCAAGTTCTGATAAAAATAGACAGTTCTGAGAGTATTTACAATATGCTGCATTTACTATACCATACTTTTTTTTAGCTCTTCCTAAAATTTTTCTGTACTGGCATTAATGGTGGTACTTGATAGGGGTTTTGCTTTAGAAAAGGTTGTTCTTACTTAAGTTATAGGCTGGATGAAATACTTAAGGGATATCTTGGAAATGTTATATAAAAATGATTAAACTCAAGCTGTGGACTGTAAAAATTATAGCTTTATAGGCCACATGCCTGCCTACCCTTCAATCACTGTCAAAGTGATAATTTCTACAATAATATGTTTCTTTTATTGTGAGATTCTAAACATCAAGTGCTGTTTAAACATTAAACTGAATTGTTTATGTTAGTGCTGTACTCAGCGTGTCATACATCAGGCCACCGTAATCTCTCATGGAATGTAAAATTCTGTCATGAATCATGGCTTGTATATCGGAAATTACTGTAATTTTGATTGGAAATTACAGGGCTCTTGAAATGTTTCTAATTATGATAGAATGTTAGAGCCGCTTCAAACCTGTGTGCTTCTTCAGATGTCTTCATTTACATGCCAAGACTATGCGTTAAGGAGAAATGTCCTGCTCTCACTTTGCCCCTCACCCACCCACCCTGCACATTCTTGTTTTGGCTATTTAGTCTAATTATGATGAGGATCTCGTATTCAGACGTATATTATCTTGCCTTTCTTTCTGATCCTGCATCTTTTCTGACCTGTCCAATTACATTTATCAAGAGTAACAGACTGTATTGTTACGGAGCCAAACACTTTCTCCAAATCCTGAAAATAGATAAACAGAGAAACTAGACATGTATTATTGTAATAAGGGTCAGCCTTAAAACGAACAAAAATAAATATGAAAACTTTTCAATAACTGTCATTTAATTGCTTGTCATCTATCACTTAATCCAGTGACACTTCCTGCCTCCCCATTTCCTTTCTGACTATAGCATAGCTCCTTTCAGTTAGCAGCCTCTTCGCTACCTTCATTCTTTCTTTCTTTTAAATGATATCCCCAAATCTGCCCACCTGGCCTGAGTTACTGATTTGGGAACTGTTTAGACAGTGGCAACAACTGGTTGGTAATGTCATGGGAGTGATGTTCTGGTGAGTTTTTTTAAACAGGCTTGCTGTTTGTACCCCTGTCCTACAAAGCTCCCCATGAGTCTCTTTCAACAGTGTCGACTGGCAGCTTCTATGTCTCTGCCAGGATGGTGTGTTTCCCAGAACCCCTAAAGCTGTAGCTAATCCCCTCATTACTGATTAAGAGAGAATCCAAGGAGCCAGTTGTTGGCAGTGGGGTAGCATACTGGTAACTTTCATTCTTTCAGATAGTTATTCCTAACTACTAATATCCTGTAACTTCCTAGCAGAGGATTTTTGTACTTTTCCCTTTGTCGTTCAGTTTAGGTGTCAGCACTACCCTCGGTATGAAAATATGTAGAAAGATAGATGATTACTTAAAAATAAGTGTATATGTCACTGAGAGAAGAAGTCAGACTTAACAAGGGAAGGTAGTCACTGTTTAACTTCTGTTCTGCCATGATTTTTGTGAAGGAAACAGAACTAGCAAACAAACCAAAAAAAAAAAAAAATCTTCAAATCAGACTGACCTTTTCACGGTCAAATTTTTAACTTCTAAAAGAGTTATTTACTTCTGAGATGTATGTGCCACAGCTTGTCAGAGTGAGGCAGAGGTCCCTGAAAATGAAGCGTGTATGAAGAGGGATGAGCTGGAGTCACTTTTATCTCAGCCTGTCTCACTCCATCTGCTTCTGGTCCTCTGAGTTGACTTACTGTCCAGCGCCATCCTTGTGCTAGACCCCACTGTGCATTATGTATGACCTACCTTTAATTCTGAGTAACCTTTGGAGCTAGCCTTGTTTTCCTCATTTTATACACGAGAGTCACCAGACTCACAAATGGTAGAGCCAACCCCAGTTTCTCGGTTCTCTTCCTCTGTCCCCCTATTTTAGTATTTCCTCAGGGTTCTAGGAGCTTCAGGACTGAAGTGATACCCTGCTCCGGGAAAGAGGAATTAGGGGAATTGGACTAACTGATCGAGGAAAACGGCTGGAGGTTTCCTTTCTTCATTGACATTTTCATGGAATACAGGTTCTTATCAGCATAGGGTCCTAGGAATCCAGGCTTTTTCATGTCCAGTTGGGCTGAGCGGAGGTACATGGTAGAGGACTCCAAGTAGGCTATGGTCCCGTCTGTATCACTGGTGTTATAATATCGAGAAATTATTTAACCTTTTTGAGCCCAAGATTCTTTTAACGTGGGAGAAGATCATATGCTATAATAGATGCAGAAGAGCTTTTAAATTATACAGCACTCTACACAAATGGATAACATCTTATAATGTGCTAAGCAAGAGGCTCAGATCTCTACACAGAGTGACTTATTTATTATCTCTGTATTTATCTCAAATACTTTTCATTTTAGACTAAAAGTTAAAGCTTTAGGTAAGTATCCTGAGTGGCAGGCGGCATAATCGTTTTTTTAAAGTTTCTATAGTCCCAGAATGTTATGAAACCAGACACATCATAGTCGTGCTATGTACTGACTAATGCGCGAAGTATTTTCAGTAAAAGAAACCAAGTCTGTGGATTCCACCATTTCATATGTATTCTGTCTTCTCTTTGATGAGTAATAGAAATGAGATTGTTTTTAACTCTAATAGAAATGTCGAATAAAATATGCAAGTAAAAACTGAAGGTAGGCTACTTTTTGTGCTTGAGTAGGAAAGCAGGCTAATGCAAACTTTAAAAAGATGATCTGCTTTAAACATAATGTGAATAGCTACAAATGAATACACTTTATATTCCGGGTATTCAAATAAGCAGCAGTTTTTCCAAGTGAATCATATTGGAATTTTATCAAACATTTAGTCTGATAACATTCAAATAATTATGAGAGCAGAATTCACTAATTTTACTGTTTAAAAAAAATAGTTGATATGGGTAATAACCATTACGGTATCAAGGTTCAGTTACTGTTCATTGGTTATAGTGTTTTCATATGGGAAATGGAAATGGAATTTTTTCCTTAATGGTGGCAGATGTTGGAATCTAATTTTATTCCACAGCAAACCTCCTGAGAGCTCTGAGACTTAAGGTGTATGTCCAGCAAGGGGACATTAGCCACGCCATAGGCCTCGCCTTGTACATCGAATTGTTACATTGATTTTCATGTCTGCAGAGTGGAGCTTGCAGATACAGTAATGTGGGAGTAAAGGGCTTTGACGGAGCAGTGCCGCATTGCCACTTGTGTTTAGAAAATGATTTCTCTCTACTGCTTTATTGAACAGGGTATTTCTTTTAGGTAAAGTGACTAGATGATGAAAGTTCTATTTGACTGAACATGACTGAATATAATCTTTGGCAGTCTCTACCCCACCAGTCCCGTAGAATTACAGAACTCTGGATGCTACTACTTCAGCTACTGGATAGGTATGGTCTTAGTGATTTAAAAAAAAAAAAAAAAAAAGTGGCTTTTGCCTCTGCAAAATAGCACAACCAGTGGAAGAGAGCAAATAATTTAAAGTTTTGCTCTTTTCCATTCCCCTTTCAGACACTTTGGTCATTGAGATTCAAAGCCTTGAGTGAGAGGGAGAGAAGAGCAGGGGGCGGAAGAGAGAAGGAAGCTTTGGTGCATCTTTTTGGCCTGTGGGTTTGGAAATTCTTCCATGGTGATTGGAATGTCTTAAATACTAGTAAGATGATACGTCACGGATCAGTGGGGCTAGAAATGGGGCAAAAAAATGTAATTTTCATTGCCGGGAACAGGAATGTATCGTGACAAAACCCAGGGAAAAAAATCACGGAACCATGATTGCACTCTGTACTCCAGCATGTTAGCGAAGGCATCTTTTATTGTTTAGAATTAAATTACACTTCAGGGAAACTACACTCTGAAGCACTGTGCTGATTCATTCTTTTGGAATGTTCATGCAACAGACTTTGCTGCAACAGGATTTCACCTGTGTAGCCTCCTAGGGAAGACAGGAGACCCCTACAG